CAATGACTAGCCTTCAACTAACAAGCCAAATAGGTATTAAATAGCCAATTAGGTCAATAACAGCTAATGTATAAATATCTCTCACAAAGGTTCTGGGGAATTTGGTTAAAGAATTCAAGAATTAAGATTATTCTGATAACAGCAGTTCAATTTACTGTAATTGGATTCCTGCTTTCTATGCATCACATATATGACTGAATTTAGGATGTCTTCTTAAGGAGTAAACTATTACATGATTCTACTTTTACCAGTATTAAAGTTCAGAGCAGGTTAAAAACCCGTATCAGTGAATTGGGTGATATCAGCATAAATACAGTAATAGGTGACCAGTATTCTGCATTGTCCAAATTAATTTGTGGAGATTTTTGTTTCTTTGTCTTTGCATACAGCCTTATTCACTTTTTGGATCCTGCATATTTATTTACTTCTCCTTCATCTCTTTTTCTGCCTATGTGTATATTAGTACTTTCATCAGAGGCAGTTTGGAAAATGAAGAGGCAAAATTTTAGCCCTTTTGTTGGAATATTTTGCATAATTCATAAGGAGCTCTTATGAAGGTCATTTGAAAGTAACAATAGAAATTTATATTGCTTTTAGCTTTTTATTCCATTTCCCATAAGGTGTAAAAATGTGGTCATCTGGCTCCCACATGGAATGGATTTTTGAGGTTTGGTGATGGAGTCAGGTAGAATAAAAAATTCCAGTGCTCTTCAGTATAGATGCCGGACGTGGCCTTCTTACACTACCTTTTAGAGTTTGTCATGGTGGGTCATAGAATGGGGCTGGCTCTATAATGTCTGATCACATTTCATTTACTGTTGTTACAGGACTGCTTGACTCCTCTTTGGTATTATCAGGGAAGGTTTGTCAATCAGTTAGGAAATCATTCTGCTACAAGTAACTGAACACCTGAAATAAAAAGAGGTTTATTTTTCTCACATAACAAGACCTGAATAGGCAGTTGCTGGCACTGGCTCAGCTACTCAGTGATGACAGAGAGACCAAGGGCTGGTACATTTTTAGACATTGTATCCAGTCTTTGCTCAAGTCAGTGGGAAGGAAAAGGGCCAGCTATATCTTTTATCAGGAAAGTATACTTTTTTTAGAATATCTGCTTCCTCCCATCTGCAGATTTCCTTTTCATCCCCTGCAATCCTGAGCCACCCCCATATGTAAAGGAGGATGGGAAAGTGAGGGGAAAAGATCATTCTAACAATCATGATGAGTTGCCTGGCCGGGGGTGGTTAATATTGCTGCCTGAATAAATTAGGGCTCTTATGGCAAAGAAGAAGTGGAAATAAACATTGGGTTGGTAATTAACAATGTCTGCCACAGCCAGGATTGCTTCTGGATTTAGAGAAGAGGTAAAGCAGAGAAATATGAAACTCAAAAAGGAATATTTTTTAGCTCGGCATGTTTTAGGATTGTCTTCATTTTGTGCTTACAGAGCAAGCTGTCTGATCAGCACAAAGGAGAAAGTATTCGAAGATTAATACGAGGGAGGATTAGAGGATTTATGTAGAGAGAATTTAGGGGAAGTGATAAAAAGTAGAAATTATTTATTTCTTCCTGTGAATATTTAGATATCTTTTTATCAAGACAGAGAGAAAACAGGAGCAGTTAAGAAAGAAAACCTTAAGTTTAAATTCATTAAGGAAAAAAGAAGAAAATCCTACAGACTATGTACTTAAAAGCACTTGGAA